CGGTTACTGACCATGGTTGCAGTGCAGTGATACATGTCTGTGTAACCTTGATAATCTGGCGGCCCGTAGTCCACTCGCGGTGGGGTACACGGCTCTTTTAATCAGAGTTGAAGGGGGCGCATGTGAAGGAGACCCAGCTGTAGCACAGCGGAGGCTGAGGCCATATAACCCAGCATCCTCTGAAAAGATTTCAGGGATGTGTGGGTACCCATCCGAAAAGAGGCGGCTAGACGCTGAACACGGCGCGCGCGCTGTGCGGATAAGCGAGCCTTCATCTTGATAGAGTTCAAATCTATTCCAAGGAATGAAATAGTTTGACTGGGCTGGAGAGAGCTCTTTGTCCAGTTGACAGAGAGTCCCAGCGCTTTCAGATGGTTTAGGAGAACTGCGCAGTGCGACAGAAGCTCCGTCTGAGATTGTGCCAGAATCAGCCAGTCGTCCAGATAGTTTAAAATGCGCAGCCCCTGACTCCGCAGGGGGGCGAGCGCTGTATCCATGCACTTCGTGAACGTACGGGGTGCTAAGGATAGGCCGAACGGGAGAACGGCATATTGGTAAACCTGACCCTCGAAGGCGAAACGTAGGAATGGCCTGTGACGAGGATTTATCTGGATCTGAAAATAGGCGTCTTTCAGGTCTAGAGAGATGAACCAGTCCCCCTGGCGCACGTGCACGAGGAGTTTTCTGACTGTGAGCATTTTGAACGGTCTCTTCATGAGCGCTTTGTTCAACACCCTGAGATCTAAGATCGGCCTGAGGCCGCCGTCTTTCTTGGGAACAAGGAAATAACGGCCGTAAAACCCCGACTCGGTCATAGATGGCGGAACTCTCTCTATTGCGCCCTTCTGCAGCAGCTTCGCTATTTCTGAGCGGAGCGTGTTCATCGCAGCTGGGCTGACCGTAGAATCGAGCCGAACGCGCGAGCGGGGCGGGTGGCGACGAAACTGTAATAGATAGCCATTCTTTATGATGCTTAGAACCCACGGGGAGATGCCGGGGATGGCTTCCCACGCTTCGCAGCATGCGGCTAGCGGTTGAATGGCAATTTTTCCCTGATTGCTGCACATAGCGGGCTGGTGTGGGCGCGCTTAGAATGTGTGTGGCAACGGGACTTACACTCAGAGAGGAGTTTCTGGGCCGTGAGACAGAGCGAGCAGAGGGGGGACACGCGCACAGGCTCGTGGGCGTGTTTATGTTTTCTGCTACTAGAGCGGTCAGTGGCCGCTCTGAGAGAATGGGCTCTGTGGGAGACACGGGGCATATTGTGCTTGAGTGTATGCGTGAACACATGCTTGTGGGCACATTTTTTTACACTTGAGGCTTTTATGCTCTTTTTGTGAAATCTCTGAGTAGCCGTGAAAACGGATTTTTGTCGCTCGCAAGCGGGCATGGGAACCGGCTTGTTTGTGGCGGTAAACACTACTGTAGTCGGCGAGGCTTCGGGGACTAGCAGAGGACGAAACTTTGACGGCGGTCCGGCCGCAGCAGGAGAAGGCCGTCTTTTTCTCAGCTGTGCTAGGCAGACTTTTGCTGATCAGGCTTCAGCGTGATCTTGGGTCGAGGCCCCCGGGGAGGAGGCTGTCTGCTGCGGCTGTTAGAGCGAGAGCGAGGGCGGCTGCCCTGTCTACGCTGGGGCTGCTGAGCTTGCTGAGGTGGGCGCTGTTGCGGGGTTCTGGCAGGAGGTTTGAGAGAGCGGCCTGCAGAAGTGCTGGCGCGGCGGGGCAGGAACAAGTTCATGGCCTGGGTGGCTTTTTGTACCTCGGAGAAGCGGTCAACGATGCCCGTGACGGCAGATCCGAAGAGGCCGGTCGGAGAGATAGGCGCGTTGAGGAACACCGTGCGTTCTGAATCTCCCATGTCGGCAAGCGTGAGCCACAAGTGTCTCTCAGCGACACAGAGGGCGGCCATGCATCTCCCCAGGGCTTGTGTGGCGGCTTTAGTGGCGCGAAGGGAGAGGTCCGTCGCGCTTCTCAAATCCGAAAGGATGGGCGGGTTCCTACCGCTCTTCGCCATCTCGCACAAGATGTCGCTCTGCAGCACTTGGAGGACTGACATGGAATGCAGCGTTGAAGCGGCCTGTCCTGAGGCGGCGTAAGTGCGAGCATGGAAAGTGGAGGTCGCTCTGCACGCTTTAGAAGGAAGCATAGGGGAAGAACGCCATCTGGCAGAGGGCGGGCAGAGGTGAGCGGCGACCAAGTCCTCGACGGGCGGTATAGCAGTATATCCCCTCTCGGCGGCTCCGTCCACCGAGCGCAGCGAGGCGGACACGTCGGAGCGATTACGAGCCGAAAGAGGGGCATTCCAGCACTTAGTGAGCTCGCTGTGTAGCTCAGGTAGGAATGGAGCAGCCCGGCTGCAGGCCGGGGCCGGGCGCCGGTGCAGGAATTTTCCGTCCATGCGATTCGGTGGTTGCTCGGGGCGAGGCGACCACTCAAGTCCCAGGCGGTCGACGGCCTGTGAGAGGAGGCACAGCAATTCTTCTTCAATGCCGGCGCGGGTCCCCGCAGACTCTCTCGTCGAAGAGCTAATCGACGACCAGTCTTCGCTGTCCGAAGTGTGCAGCGAACAAGAGTCCTTCTTTTCCGCGGTGTCGTCGGAGGCGATAGAGTGGCCACTCGGCGGCAACTGTATGTCCGGCTAGGGCGGAGAGGGAGAGCGGTCGGTGGGCAGCAGCGGCGGCCCGCATGGATCCGCAGGGGGCTCCAGCGGCCTCTGGGAGCGGCGTATTTTCTTCCGCAGCGAAGTGAGAGGCGCCGCGGGAGCGGTCTTGACCGCCTGCAGTCGTGCCCGCAGGGAGGACAGAGGCAGGTCTTAGCAGAGGTCGCATCCTCCGTGGCGAGGGCAAGCTCTGCGTGATCCACTCCGAGACAGAGAGCGCAGATGGGGTGGCGGTCTCCTTCCTCGAGTGGGGAGCGGCATGAACCGCAGGAAATGCGAGGCATCTTGAAAAAGACGCTCGAGCTCTTTTGTGAATGGAATATGGTAAAAAGGATACGGCGTCGGACGGCGCTAGCTTGCAGGACGGCTGAAGGAGGCAGACGGCCGGCTTCCTCAGTCTCCGGAGCTTGCTAGAAGGTTGCCTTTTCGACGACGGCGGCTTCTTCCCAGAACAGTGGATGCGTGTAGCTCGCTGAAATGATGAAAATCAACTACCGAGCCTGGGAGAGCCAGTTTTATACACTGTAGCCACGCCCCTTTCGGCGGGCTCTGACGCAATGAGAGAGCGCCGTCCGCTCATTGGCCGCGGGCTCAGCGCCGCTCTCCCATAGGTTCGTGCATTCTCTCTGAGCGAACCAATGAGCTGCTAGCTAGCCCCGCTCACGGTCTGTCTCAGAGAGACTGCGTTGACAATGATTACAAAATTATTGAATAATTTTTTGGCTTCAACTTCTCAGCAAAGATGAATCTTTCCCGTAGCGTAAGCTAGCTTACGCAATACGAGAGAACCTCTCGTAAGAGAACGACACAGCAACTCTTCGGTATGATTGTCCCATGTATTTCAATGAGCGCCAAGGCAATGTTTTCCCCCACGGGCTAAATTCACACCACGTGACGGGGCGTTCCCGGGGGCGTTCCCAGACCAACCGACTGTATCTATTGGATAGTCGGTAGACCTACAACCAATCAGAGCAACGCAGTAAGTCAACTCCTTTTCATAGTGCAGTTTTCAAATACAGAACGTAGCCTAACTTTATTTATTTTAGAGGTTAAATAACGAGTGTTGCTTCTTTTACTTACTTCTCCATGAGGCTTTTCATTACGTCCCATCTTCTTAACGACCGTCAGAGCCAGCTGATAAGTTACACTTTTCCCGAATCATGTAGGAAGGACGCCAAAAATATCTTTCCGATCAACAAATGCCTTGATTGCAGTTCTCTGTTTGTCTATTAAAATGAATGCGCTGTCGATTTATTTTACAAAAGACGCGACAGCGGAATCTATACATCTCAATTCTCCAGCTGCAGTCATCTCTGAGGGAAAACAGTTAAGCGCTCTTTGATAACGTGATGATTACGTCCTTGCAGATCACCTGTCCATCATCGTATAAAGCCCGCCCTGGCAATTTGATTGGCCCGTTCATTTCTTGCCTGATCACATTACTCCTCAATGGATCGAGTCCAGACCGAACTTCCCGACCAAAAAATGTTGTGGGCGGACTTCGGGCTGGCATCCAGGCTAGGTAACGATAGAAGTCAACCAAAAATCTTAACACTAGGTGGCAGATTTTGACAACAGGATGCTGAACGGATGACCCATGTAGGCTCCAGTGTGGTAGGTTGGCGGAATAGCAGTTCGACAACCACCATTAAACACTAGAAAACAACAAAACAACAGCCGACCAGTGGAAAGCATTTCCAGGAATGAGGAGGTCGATAAACTTGCAAAACAAACACTGAAACACAATAAAATATTACAAGTTCCATATAGCAAAACTGAAGCTAAAATATTAATTAAAGCCTATGCAAGATCAAAATGGCAGAAGTATTGGGTGGATCATGATAAAGGAAGACATTTATATAATATACAACCAGAAGTGGGTAGGAGAGTGTAGGTGTAGAAAAGAGGAAAGTATAACACTATTAAGAATAGGACACACAGGGCTTAATTCATCATTGAAATTAATAGGGAAACATCCAACAGGGAAATGCCAACATTGTACTCATTTAGAAACTGTGGAGCATATTTTATTTCAGTGCACAAAGTACAGTGAAGAAAGAAACCAGCTTTTTCAATCTCTTAGAATGGTAATCAGAATAATTTTACAATGCAAGGTTTATTAGGGAAAACATCCTGCAACAATTATCACTTTGTTATTAAGTTTCTGAGAGATACAGACTTAGCAAAAAGGATATCATTTTTTTTATTTTTTTTTAAGTTCCAATATCTCCTGATATTGGAACTATCTCCTAATATCTCCTAATATCTCCCACTCCAGCCCAGTCGGTGGCGGTAAATGCACCGTTAAGTTGGTTTGCCAACCGCCAAAAAACACAAAAGAAGAAGAAAAGCAACAAGAAGGAAAGCATTTCCGGGTTCTGACGAGGGTTCTGTTGTCATTTTGGTAAAGATGTCAGCGCACGATCACCTCTCTCTCTGTATTTGCGATTTAATCAGGTAATTATTTCAAAGTATTTTATTTTTTTAGATGTTGCAAAACTAGTGTCGAATAAGTGAAGTCCAGCGAGCTGCTGTTACAGTACGAATTTAACTATCAAAATATTTTGAAACATTAAAACACAGTAGTGGATGCTAATCTGTAATTTCGTATAATTTCAATACTTCAGACATTCACAGTATTTCTGATGATGTTGATAATTGATTTCATAAGCCATAAATTCACTTTAAAACCAAGTGTGATCACCCACATGTATATCATAATAATAATATAATAATAATAAAAATCCCAAATTGTTCAGCCCATAACAGGTGGCTTATTAATCAGTACAAATGATGTTAGAGGATGCATAGTAAATCTATAACATTGTTCGTTAGAATTAGTTTGTGATTAGCACTTTTTTTATTAGGAAACCTTGTGTATGCCAACTGATATTACTGGGAAACATGGATTATTGTATTTAACTTTTGCCTTCCACAGGTTACTGTGGACACTGCTGTTACCATGCTTCTATCTGAGTCTTGTCCTGACAGCCATTCTCTTCCTTTTCATCATGGGAGTGAGAACCTGGCTGCAGATGAAGAGGAAGACCAGGAGAGCTCAGGATGGCCGGTCTGCCGTGGCCTTCTTCCACCCATACTGCAATGCGGGAGGAGGAGGAGAGAGGGTGCTGTGGTGTGCTTTACGTGCTCTTCAAAACAGGTCAGCCATATCAGCTCTTTTAGAGTGGGACATTTATTTGACCAGACATTACAGTAACAAATAAGGAGTGAAAGCATACAAAAAAAGCATTAAAGGTATAAATTCAATAATTTTTGACTATATTCAATGAAAATTATATTTTATGCTATTTTAGTTACATACTTTATTGTATGGTTGATTGGTTTTTGGTCATTGAAAATATCATACAGAATTACATTTATAATGATTCCAAAAATGATGATAAAAACTTCTACCAGATCAAAAGCTAAGGATGATAATTATTCAGAAGAGTTCTTGTAAAGTCTTAAAATGATCATGGATGACTGCAGTGTTCTCAACATAAAGTTGGTTGCCTTATCTTTTAGATCGGTCGTGGCCACTGTGTCTCATCTGGGGGCTGTTTCATAAAAGCCGCTTAGAAAAGCGGGGATTAAAGTCCAAAACCTGACTTGAATGAGCCGAGGTTAAACATCCGCGCTTAAATTGGTTCCATAACAGTAAGTTGAGGATCATATGATCTTACTAATTTGAGTCAGGTTTAAATAGTCTAGATAGATCTGACCTGTCTCTGAAAGTTCTCTCTTTGAAATGCCCTTCGCAAGACTATACTGTAGCTCCCTCATCCACCACCTCATCTATAAAAGCACATGCCATGGTTAAGTTTGGAAACTAGTTCAGCTCCCTATTTATATACTTTTAATTCATTAATTACCCAACTCATTAAACAAACTCACCAATTAAATACACAAGTTTTGAACATTTCTTAGTGTATTTATACCTTGTAATTTCTTACATTTATTAGTAAAGTACATTTCCTTATTTATTTTTTAAAAAATTATATTAATTGTGGTTAAGTAAAATAAAATGACTTTGAAATACCAGCAGGTGAGTATAAATGGTGTGCTCTTAAGCCTGAACTCAGACTTAGCCTAACCCCGGACCAGGTTAATTTGCCAGCAAAAGTTGCCGGGGTAACTGAGTTTGAACTTTTTTAAGCTTGATTTATGAAACCGAATCTAACAAAAATAAGCCTGACTAACCGAAATAAGCCTGGCTTATACTCTAATCTTGGTTTATGGAACAGCCCCCTGGTTGCCCGTTGACAGCCACATTGCCCAGCAACATTGCCCAAAAACTTGCCTTGTGTAGCATCACCTTAAAGGTTTTCCTAAAATTGCTGATAAAAACTCTGAAAAATCCCATAGACTTTTTTTGTACAATGCTCAGATTGAGCCAAGACTATTTAAAATTAAAATTTTGAAAGTTGGAGAAACTCATTAGACTTCATTAGCTGCCATTCAGTGTATTATTTCTAATTCATCAAGACTAATTTTCCATCCATTCTATCTAATATTTCTAAACTGAAAACATTAAAACTTTTAAAACTACTTAAAGTTGGCAAGGCTTTTCCATCCCAACTTTAAGTTTGTCTACAAACTTTTTAATCTAGTTAATTTATGAAATTATTTCTAGATCACTGTGATTGTTTTTGTCCCCTCCTCCCTCATTTCTTAGTGTGTGCCCGATGGATGGACGGATGGATTTATTTATTTTGTTTTACTTTTGGTTATCGAGCATGAAATTTTTGAATATTGTCTTTAAAATATAATTGCTCATGAAAATGTAGGATAAGACTATATAGTTGAATATATCTTTATTTAAAAGCTATAGTCTTATATTTTGAAATTGAGCAAAGTAAGCATGGTACATCGCTGACCCTTATATAAATTTATACAGTTTTGGTATTTAAGTGAAGCTGTTTTGAAAAGTATGGATGAACATGGCTGGGCTTTAGCAGCAGCTTTTTTTTTCATAATGAAAAAAAAAAAAGTCATGTTCACTTTCGTAGTCAAATGACGGAGAATGGGGGTTTCGCATAGAAAGCCAATCCTCTTCGAGTATTTAACAACGAGCCAATGGCATGAAATGCCTTGGGGCTGCGGAAATTTGCATAGCGTAACTCCGCCCCACCCCATGGGTATAAAAGGAGTAAGTGAACGCAACCGCAGTATGTTTTCGCTTCGGAGCCAAGAGACTTCTTCACTCCTAAAGCCAGTTTCACTGAGTACAACTCTTCGAGACGAGCGTCCTCTTCAGTGTTGGTGTGACGGCGGTACCCAGCGAGATTCTGCATTGCCTGCGATCTGAGCAGTGGTCTGCCAGACTTTGCGCTTCTCCCTGGATGCCTCAGCGCTGAAAGAGTGAATTTCCTCCTCTCTACTGAAAGAGCTGCACGTGGCACGTCTTTTTAAAGATGGTTCGCCCGTGTTCTTCTGGGTGCGGTTGATTCATGTCATCTTCTGATGGTCACGATCGCTGCTTTGTTTGTCTGGGCATTCAGCACGCAGTAGCAGCGTTCGTGGATGACTCATGTTCCTTCTGTGGGAACATGACCATCTCTACACTGCGATCTAGACTCAATGATCTGACAAAAGTGAGAGTCCCCGCGTCCAAGAAGAGTCCTCCGGCTTCTTCTTCTAGAAGCTCTTCGATTCGCGGACAGGGTGATTTGTCGGTGACCGTGTGGAACAAACCCCCGATGCTAGCTCCTCGGGCCACACCCACCGTTCCAGTGTTAGAGCCAGCGAGCGCCGAATCCCTTCAGACGTCTGCCTCTTCGCACTCGCAGGTACCGTCTGTTAGAGTGGAACCCTCCGCCCTGTCCCGATCTCTCGCGGATGGATAATTGGTTTTTGGGTAAGGCTGCCGCCGCAAGGCCACAGCCAACCCCAATTAATTTTTTCCCTGAGCTGCATGCGGAACTGACACGCACTTGGAAGGCTCCTTTGACCTCCCGAGAGCGCGCTTCAGTTTCCCCCGCCTTTCCTCCCCTCGACGGCGCGGTTGCCCGTGGGTACGCTGGGATTCCCCCGGTGGAACGCTCTGTCGTGATGCAACTGTGTCCACAGAGCGCGTCCTCCCGCAGTACTCCTAAGTAGGGATGGCTCGATACCACAATTTGGGCTTCGATACGATACCAGAACCTAATACCTCGGTATCGATACTAAATCGATACCACAGTCGGGGAAAAAAAGAGTCTAAATTTAAATTGAATTGAAACAATTATATTAAACACTGCTTGAAATTCTCAACTACCATATGTGCAAAGAAAGTATCAAAAAACAAAAACAGATCAAAATTTTCAAAATAAATCAATTCAATCAAGGAACATATAGTAGGTAAAATTTTGATTTTGGAAAAGAAAAAAACCCTGAAATTATACAATTAAAATAGGTTAATATCTATAATAATAATAGTCAAGTCACATTTATTTATATAGCGCTTTTCACAATACAGATTGTATCAAAGCAGCTTCACACTGATAACATGAAAGTAGCACAACACAGATCAACAACATTGCTAAACACTAAATAACCCCAACTGAGCAAGCTCAAAGCAAGCCAAAAGCAAGGCAACAGTGGCAAGGAACCAAACTCCATCAGATTGGATGGAGAAAAAACCTTGGGAGAACCCAGGCTCAGTCGGGGGCCAGTTCTCCTCTGGCTTACATTCATATTGTTTAAATATAAATATTAAATATAAATATTGTTTATGAATCAAACGGCGCCATAACATATCGCAGGCGTTGAGTCGTCTCTTCACAGGCGTTGAGTCGTCTCATCACAGGCGTTGGGGCATCCGAAATCCCCGTGAGAGGCTGGACACAAAACTGGACCTGACGAACGCCATTTTTCTCGGGACAAGCGTCCCGAGATAACAGCAGAAAGGCAGATGGGAAATAATTAGCATAGCTGATGTTCATAATGTTTTCCGTTATAACTCACAAACTCTCCGTAACCTGAACTCTCCGCAACCCAACCATACGCGCCGACCCGTTTGTCTAAAAGGCTGTCGAGCCCCACTGGTGCGTTAAGCAGTTTCAGTGGCAAACGGTTCCGTATGGCATAACAGAGGACTAGAAGGTAAGCATTATGTGAATGCTTGACTAAAGAGAAGCGTCTTTAATCTAGTTTTAAACTGTGTCAGCGAGTCAGAGGCTCGGACCGTATCGGGAAGGCCATTCCAGAGTTTTGGAGCTAAATGCGAGAACGCCCTCCCTCCTTTACTGGACTTCGATATCCTAGGAATGACCAGAAGCCTTGAATTTCGTGATCTTAAGGAACGCGGTGGATTGTAGGGCGAAAGAAGGTCCGTTAAGTACATAGGTGCTAAACCATTTAGGGCTTTATAGGTCAGTAGTAGTATTTTGTAGTTGATGCGGAACTTAATACGTAACCAGTGTAGAGATGATAAAATCGGTGTTATATGATCATATTTTCTTGACCTAGTAAGAACTCTAGCAGCTGCATTTTGTACTAACTGTAGCTTGTTTATTGAGGATGCAGGACAACCGGCTAATAAAGCATTACAGTAATCTAGTCTCGAGGTCATGAATGCATGAACTAATTTTTCAGCATCAGAAATAGATAGCATATTACGTAGCTTAGCAATGTTTCTAAGGTGGAAAAAGGCTGTTCTTGTAACATATGAAATATGATCTTCGAAAGACAAGTTGCGGTCTAGTATAACACCCAGGTCTTTTACTGTAGTGGATAAAGTAACAGGACATCCGTCTATATTAAAGTTGTATTGTGAGAGGTTTTGTGAGTAGTTTTTTGGACCAATAAGTAATACCTCCGTTTTATCTGAATTTAATAGCAGGAAATTACGCGTCATCCAGCATTTTATATCTTTGAGACACTCTGTCATTTTAGATGAGTTAGTGTTTTCATCTGGTCGTGATGAAATATATAATTGAGTGTCGTCAGCGTAACAGTGGAAATTAATTCCATGTTTTCTTATAATATTACCAAGTGGCAGCATATATATTGAGAATAGCAGAGGGCCTAAAACCGATCCTTGCGGTACTCCATAGTCTACTGACGTTATCTTTGATTTTTTCCCATTTAAACAGACAAAATGATAACGGTCCGATAAGTACGATCTAAACCAGCTTAATGCCTGTCCCTGGACACTGGTGAAGTTTTGTAGTCGATCCA